GCATATACGAGGGTTGGAACTTTAATAGTGGCAACTATTTATTTACAAGGAATACAAAAGTGATTCATGTCACCATGTTTTACAGTCCTTCAATATAGTCGCCAGCATTGTGTACAACCCGTTTCCAACGATGTGGAAGTCACAGAATACCTGTAGCAGCGCCTGTTTTGTTGATAGTTTGAATGGACCGGTCTGCTGCCGCAAGAATCTCAGGAACGGTTTGGAAGCGAGTGCCACGAAGTGGTTCCTTCATCTTAGGAATTAAGTCATAGTCACAAGCATTAAAGCTATCCTAGAATGCGAAGTAATTGAAAACCGATAATTAATTAAAATATTCATCATATATGTTCCAGTGCCTGCCCTAAACTTTCTTGCTCAGTACTTCACTAAATTCTAAAAATTTTGCCACACTGGCTCTAGAGCTGGTTTTGAACTTATTTCATGTTTATTTCCAATACTCATATTATTAAAGAAATTAAACTAGCAATTTCTTTTGCATATTCTAATGACAAGTACTTCTTTGGAAAAATAAAAATCTTCAATTAAATCTAGATAGTGGTTAGCAATGCTGACTACCGTACTGAAGGGCCAGGGTTCGAAACGGGGAGAAGGCATGGACGCTTGTAAATACACTACTGGCCACTGTAAATGCAGCACATTGAAGGAAGCATGCAAATAACATGAAATTTACAACATGCATTAGCGGAGGTGAGATATGCAAATGATTAGAATTTCAGCGCAGACACGCATCACGTGCACCTCTGGTGCCACTTCAAAGCTCTATTTAAGGCTTGGAGTTTTCGATGATTTCAAGTTCGGCAATTGTGTTTTTCTTTCAAAAAAAACGATCAATTTTGCCTCATAGTAAACAGCGTTCATCGTTTGATCAAGTGTCTGAGTTCGACAGAGGAAGGATAGCGGCCTACCAAGTGTGTGGATTACCTTTCAGGGAAATCGGTAGTCGTGTTGGATGAAACCAAGCAACTGTAATGCAGATATGTGACCGTTGGATGCAGGAGGGTACGACAAACCGATGTGTTCGATTGCATCCACTTCAGTGCACCAATTCACGTGATGACAGGAACATTGTTCGCATGGCAGTGACAGATCGCTCAGTCACATCACGAACCATTCAGTCTGTAACACATCATCCAGTGTCTGCGCGTACCATTCGATGCCATTTACAGCAGAGTGGTCTGTCCGCAAGACATCCATTCCTTCATCTACCCTTGATACAGAACCACAGATGTCTCCACCGCCAACGGTGCGATGAAAGAAGAATGTGGACGGCAGAATGGAATGAAATCGTCTTTACTGATGAGTCACGCTTCTGTCTGCAACACCACAATGGTTGGATTCGAGTCTGGAGACACCGTGGAGAGAGGATGCTGAACAGCTGCGTTATGCACCGCCACATTGATCCTGCACCGGGTATTATGGTATGGATCGGTATTGGTTATCACTCTTGCATTCCTCTAATAGGCATTGCCGGTACTTTAAACAGCCAGAACTCCATCTCCAAGGTGTTGGAGCCAGTTGTCCTTTCTTACCATTCAGGGTTTGCCCACAGCCATATTTCAACAGGATAATGCGTGCGACGTGTGGTCGCGACCACACGTCGCACGCATTGTTCCAAGGGTTCTTCATCAATCGGCCAGATTGAATTCCTTCCCCTGGCCGGCTCGCTCTGCGGATTCTTTCGCCAATAGAAAACATGCAGTCCATGGTTGCTGAACGATTGACCCAGATTACATCACAAGCTGCCACACCAGATCAACTTTGGCAACTTGTGTAAGCTGCTTGGTCTACTGTGCCCCAAGAACACATCCAAAATCTCTTTGAATCAATGCCGAGGTGTGTGGCAGCGGTGATCTCCAACAATGGCGGCTACGCTGTCTACTGATTCTGAAAGGAACCACACTTCACAGAAGTCTATAAATTTAATTATTTGATACTTGGTCAACATGTTATCTACTTAATAAATTTTGTTGTGATATCTCTTGTCTTTCTTAGTGTTGCAATTTGGGTGGCCAGCAGTGTATATAGTGTCTTTGTGACATGGGGGCACTCTAAATATGCAGCAAGCCGAAAGTTCTCTTAAGAGGTTGGTGGTAGACAAAGAGGGGATGAGAGACCCTCAGATCCCCCCCATGTGCTGTACATTAAAATTGGGGGCAGAACTGAGCAAAGTCATGCTGTCACCTGTATGGTGCACAAGGTACCTGCCAACAACAAGTGCAATCTTGCTTTCTTGGGCAAATAAATTTTATAGGCTTGTTCTGCTGTTACTCTCAGATAAGTGAGATAAGTCACAACAACAAATCTTCATGAAGATCTGTCCTGAGGTTGATTACTTTTCTAACCAGCATAATTAACTAATTTGTTGCGAACTACCCATCTTTGATGTTTCTTCAATTAAAATAAATGCAAATAAGCAGGAAGGAATGAACAATTTATTATGCAAATAAGCACAACAAGTAGCACACACAGCATAACAAAAAGCTGGAAATAACTCCAGGAGAATGCTGATATTTAGCAATTCTCTTTAGCACAGGAAATGTATCTCAGCGTTCATGAAATTATTTTCAGGGTAAACCTTAATTTCTTTTCAGCTAACTGCTAAACTGCAAACTTAATTCTCAGCTGAATTTCCTAGCTTTTCGACCAATATTAATAAGGCTTTGGAAACTTCCTGGAAGAATTGGTCGTAGGGCTTCAAAGATATTTTTCCAAGTCTTCCAGTAAGGTGCCAAGTTAGCAAGAAATCAGCAACTTGGAGACAAAAATTGTCACCTAGGCTCCTTAGGAACAAAATTGCTTATATCTGCCTTTTAATTGAATTATTTTTACAATTTGAATGCCATCATGTTGCACTCAGAATTAAAGGATCTACAGTTCTATGTAACAAATGCTAAAATACAAGACGTGGCTATAAATAAGATTAAATACAAAATAAACCCAAAAATTATCAACTTGAAAACAATAAATAAATAAAACAATACAAAACATCTCAAAAATACAGTCTGAAATGATTTATATATTTACAATAGTATCTGTCAGATTATCATTTATATTAACATATGCAGGAAACTTCCTAATGCTCCTTATAATTCTACTATTTCTTTTCCCACTGCAACTTAATGTTACCGTTGTTTCAGGTGCAACTAATACATCCAAATTTTTTCTACCTACAATCCTTTTTCTCCGCTGTAAAATAAGATGAGAAAATGTGTATTCTTGAAGAAAGTTATCTCTGATGTCTTGCTTTTTGTTCCAAGTTCTCAAAATTATTGCTAGTAAATTCAGCTAAAAACATGTGGACTTTTTTTGGGGGGGTAGGTCTTTCTGCCTTACATTAGAACAAGAAAAAATTTCAACTCATCAATGTTACTGACAAGTATAATTAATTAATAAGGTAACTCTTGTCTGGTTTTCCACTAAGAATCTTTCATTGACAGTGATATTTAGGTAATTTTATAATTATTTTCTTTATCCTCCGATTCTTAACAACATTCTTTCACATCTCTGATAAAAACTTTTTTCTATCAGTAGATTTTTTTACTTATTACAGTACAAAATCTGTAATTCGGACGTCCATTATCGGGAATGATCCATAGCCACAAACTTATGCATGCGCGTAAAGCGTTCACGCATGCGCATTTGATGCGCACGTCTGCTATGCATGCGCGTAAAGCCAGTAAAGCATTTACCCATGCACGCTTCCTATAGTGAAGAAAGTGACAGAGAACGTTATTGAGCGAAAAAATTTCGATTGACAAGTTAGTCGGTATTCTTGACACAGCAATTACAGGACTTGAACAGTGGAACTTTGTAACTGAACAAGAAATTATGTCTGTTTATAGAATTAAAGAGAAAGTATTAGCACAAAAAAAACGAAGCAACTTAAACAACTTACATTGAAAGAAATTTTTACTAAAACAAATAAATATTAATTTTTTTTTTTTTTTTTTCCGTAAATTTTGATGCCCTTTAGATCAGAATTGCTTTTTATTTCATATATTGCAGTTTAATATTTTTAATTGTATAATTTCTGCATGCCATCTTACCAGATTTAAATTGTTGATCTATAATCTGGAATCACAAATGTCCCGACGAGTCCGGATTACAGACTTTGTACTGTATTAGTTATCACTGATACTAACATTTGTGACTTCACATCAAACAATATCGAAACTTTCAGTGAAGGTTAATTTTTATTTTAATGCTTAAAATTCAATTTTCTTTTAGCCTTTGGATTAATTAATTAATTATGTTTTCAACTTTACTTAAATAATGCACCAATCGGTACCAAATAATTTTAAGAGATTCTTAGCACACACTTTTCCCGGGGCACAAAACTTCACAGTTAACAAAACATTCTTTTATACTGCATAAACTGTTTTTTAAAGTAACAAATATTAAAAATATCAGTGCATGAGAAAAGCAAAAATGTTTGAAATTAGCAATTGATAAGAATATCTAATAGACAGTGTTTTCTACAAAGCAGCAGAATTCAGCTCGCTAGTAACAAAATTTTGGGCCATTATTCATATTGCTAAAGTTTCTTGTTTTTATTAATATTAAAATTAAATTGTAAATGATTTGTAATGCAAACAGGTAAAGTTATGTACTTAAAGAGGAAAAATAATTTTGTATAAGCACAGTGTGGGACTAAATGTTGTGCCTTTACAATAAACGTGGGGGGGGGGAAGGATTATAAGCAGATACACTTATCTGTTTGACTGCTGAGAATCAAACCCTAATTGCAGCTAATTAATGTTCATTGCTTTTAACGATTCAACTACAAATGAGTCTATTCACTTTAAAAATAAATTAACCCTAGGCTACAAGTCCCGTTTAAAATAATGAGCATTTTCTGATTTGTAACCAGATGAAATTCCAGAGGTAGCTAAATTTACAATATTGAAAGTCACGAGATTTTGATTCATTTAGGAAATTTACTTTTTTATGTATACAAATGTACGTGTTTGTTTTAAAATGATAAACGTTACTAGCATTCCTCCTTTCACTTTTAGGGATAGATGTGTGTTTAGAGTACAAACAAAAAGTTGACGAAGAAGTTTTTGAAGTTCAAGGCACAAAAAATCAACCAAATACCCAAGGACCAAAATATGGGAGAGAAAATATAAAGCAAAAGGTTTCAGAATATAATGTTATGTAACCAATTCACATTTTATGTAAAAAAATCTAAAGCAATCTTTAATACAATTTATTTAGTATATGTAATTTTTAATTTAATTTAGTTCTTAATTTTAAATATTGCTAATATTTTAAGTTTCAATCTTTATCTAAAATATATTCTTATGTTTTCCAGTTACTCCCACTGTTCCATGGATTCTTCTTTTATTTACATGGGCAGTTCACTAAACCAACACCAGAACGAGATGATTTATGCAGCCTTATTCACGTAGGAGGTGGGAAAGTTCTTGCAAGAGAACCACGACCAGAAACTGTTTCATCCAAACCTCATATGATACCTTATCATGCTGCTAATACATCAATGGAAGATATCAGTCATATTATCCTTTATCAAGAAAAACCACCTCGGGAGAGCCATGTCCACTCTAGTCACATTTGCACAGCACAAGTTATGTGGTTAATTGAATGCATTAGCACATTTAAGATATTAGATCCTCAGATAATTGAAAAAGCTAGGGGAAAATAAACTTATAATGGATATAAAAATGATACTAATATAAATAAAATAAACATTTTTCTCAAAAGAACTCTACATGCATACAGTTTTGTACTCTGAAGTGTATTGTAAGTAAGCATAATAATTTTACATACTTATTCCTTTTTAATAAACTGCATATTTTTTGTCAAGTGCTATAATAATGTATAAAAAATGTTACAGTGGTGAGTTTTATTAATGATATATATTCTTTAAATGGTGATGCCCAAAATTACAATCTGAAAGTCATTGTTTGTCTTAAACTGATACAGTCGTACCTCAGTAGTATGCTTTGAAATACTTCAACTTGGTGCATATCCTGTTCGAACATGAAATTTTTATTTGAAACATGAGTCTTGACCACATATTACACTTGATTACCTCTTCTGAGATAATGGTACAACTGATTATGAACATCAGCATGGATTTTCTGTATCTAAATTCTTTCAGATTGAGTTTTTAAGAAAGTTAATGAGAAGAATTAAGCAATGATGAAAATTGTTAGGATCATCATGCAGGTGAAAAAAGAGAGTAGCAAGAAGACGAATTTGTATCTGGGACTTATTATTGCTGCACACCTATTGCATACCATATGCCAAGTACAATTGTGAAAAACAAAGATGCTAATAAATCTGCTAATTTTGCGAAGGAGATGAAATAGATTACCAAATAAAGAATAAAAATGTTAGAAGTATGTTGAAAAATTGCTTTTGATCTTTATAGCAAATTTACAGTTATTAAAATTACATGCAGTGCTTTGTTTATTTACAGTATGCAGAGTTATTCAAAACTAGTGGAAAAAATTTCTGGGACAGGTAGGGTACACCTAGGCGACTCAGAAGCTCATAGCAATGTAGAGTTGGAAATCCTTACGAGATAGAGGAGTTGTTAGGGGCTGTCACAGAAGACCCACAACAGCCACTGGCAGAGGTATTAGGCTGGAAAATATGAATACATTGTGTTGCATATTGATATTTAAAGTTCAAAATAAGTCATGATTTTCCTATTGATATTTAAAGACTATAAAGTTCAAAATAAGTCATGATTTTCCTATTGATATTTAAAGACTATAAAGTTCAAAATAAGTCTTGATTTTCCTGATAATGAAGTTGCATAAACTTTTGTAATGCGGGTACCACATGCGATTGCAGACATTTTGAAATATGCCAGGCATCCATCAGACATCTGGATTGAGATGCTGTAATATCATGGGCAATGGCTCATGTGCTTGTAACTAGGAGCTTCTTTCACTCAATGTGATACCTGAGCTTCAAAGGTAGTGTACAAATCACTTGTTTCCATCCTGTATCATGATAGCTCTTGCAGGATGTCCCATAATCACATAGGTTACGATGCAAATTCGCAAACATTTGGTAATTCGGTGCACGTATATTTAGGTATTGTTTGGCATACAACCATACTGAAGCCATTCTGTTGCAGTAAACTTCATCATACACAATGTGCATGTCCGCCATTTTCGTGTTCATGATCGTTCCATGCTATCCATAGTACTCAGTTGGAACATAAAAAACTTGGTCTTTAAATGTCAGTTTGCGACCACGATGTATTCATATTTTCTATTCTAATCCCTCTGCGGATGACTGTCAAACATTTTCCTGCAACAACCCGTAATAACCCCCTACCTCATTAGGACTGCATTTCCAACCTGCATTGCTATGGGATTCCAAGTCATCTATGTGTACCCTAAACTAAACTAAACTCAGTGGCATAACAGCCCTAATGGGCCAAGGCCTGCAATGCCCGAAATCTGCTTTCCTGACCGTGAGCCCCAGGGGGGGTGCGTAAGCATATGCCCTGAACAAGTGGTCAGCTTTCTGTGTGTACCCTACCCCTTCTAAAAGTTTGTTCCTCTAGTTTTTAATCACCCTGTGTATTTAAGCCACTGTATTTTCACTTTAAAGTAAGTGTTATAATACAGTACAATGTCCGTAACCCGAATGTCCATTATCCATAATCCGGAATTCAAAGCCCCAAACTTCTTCTTCTTTTTTTTTTTTTTTTTTTTTTTTTTGTTTGCTTTATGCATGCACATAATGCATTTACGCATGTGTGTTTAATGTATAACGGATGGTATAAGCTAGGCTAAAATTAGCTTTACTGATTCTAAGGCATTTCAGTTAACGTTGCAGATTGTGCTGTTCCTTAATCTTCGAATTTGAAGGTTTTTGGACATCGCAAACTAAAGGTGAAATTTTCCAGTTATTGGATTTTGTAAAGAAACGTGGAGAAATGGTAATAAAAATGATATAACAGAAGTTTTTCATTGCGACGACAATGCCCCAATCATCAATCAATTAACAGACGGCGAAATCTGTAGTATGGTTCTAGGCATGAAGAAAGTGACAGAGAGGTTAGTGAAAACAAAAAAATTTCGATTGACAAGTTAGTCAGTATTCTCAACACAGCAATTACAGGACTTGAACAGTGGAACTTTGTAAATGTACAAGAAATTATGTCTGTTTATAGAATTAAAGAGAAAGTATTAGCACAAAAAACGAAGCAACTTAAACAACTTACATTGAAAGAAATGTTTAATAAAGTAAACAAAATAAATATTAAGCTTTCTTTTTTTTTTAGTAAATTTTGATACCCTTGAGATCATAATTGCTCTTTATTTCATAAATTACGGTTTCATATTTTTAACTGCATAATTTCTGCATGTCATCTGTTTGTGTCGAAATGTGGACTGTATGAGGGGTTAATGTCTTTTAGTAGTTTTATTAAAACTCAACAATAATATACGTGATACATTACTTAAAACCGAAGTTCTCGACAGTGGACACCGATGGGACTTAGTGTCTGTTGACGAGCGAACTGACAATTTTCCCGCCTAGTTGGTTTGAATTGTAAGATCGTCAAGTTTGGCGCAGTTACAGTTAAATTCAGCAACATTCTGCCCCCCATTGAATGATTTCATTCAACAAATAATACAAGAATATATCAATTTAGTTATAACAACAAATACGTACTTTAAAAAATACATAACATTCCGTGTTGGTTGTAAAACACAGCAATAAACATGTATGATAATGACATTACAATCAACTTAATATACTAAATATATGCTAAATAATACAAAAATATCAAGGTATTGCACTATTTCTAAGTTCACAAGAATTCAACTATTTACATTAAAATAGATAATTTTGTAACTCGTCGTTTCAACAGACCATTTGAAGTTCGAACAGTGACTATTCTTATATTACCATCAGTACCAGGGAAAACCCTACAATACGACCAATAACGTTCAAATGAACTTCCTTTATCAAAACTACAGAATTAATATTAACATTATGTTTTTGAAAATGCCACTTATTTCTTTGTTGGGGGTGATTTAAGTAGTCATTACTCCACTTTTTCCAAAAACCCTGGATAATTTTGGTAATTTTTTTGCCAGCGGCTTTATCCGTTCTCAGGCTTCTCTAGAAGTTCTTGTTCTGGAATCGCTGTAATAGGCCTAAAAATTAAAAAATGACCTGGAGTTAGAGCTTCAATACAATCGTCATCTGCCGGTAATGGAGTGATGGGCCTAGAATTTAATACACCTTGTATTTGAGAGCCACTGTCAGAAATTCTTCATATGCAAGTTTTGTTTCCCCTATGATATGTTTAAGGTGATATCTAAATGATCTTACTCCTGCCTCCCAAAGTCCTCCAAAATTGGGAGCTCTAGAAGGGAAAAAGTTCCATTTTACTTCTTCAGAAGTCAAGTAATTTCCTAAAGATTCATCTGGGTTTTTAACAGGATTATACAATTTAGTCAATTCTCTACTAGCACCAACAAAATTCATTGCATTGTCAGAAAATATAATCGAGCTTCTACCCCTAGGACAGAAGAATCTTTTTAATGCAGCAATGAAGGCATCAGATGACAAATCTGATACTAATTCAAAATGTACTGCTTTAGTGACAAAACAAACAAAAATAGCAACATATATCCTTTGAAATTGTCCCTTTCATTGATGTTTATACTTTATATAAAATGGGTCGCAAAAATCGATCCCTGTGCAATTAAAGGGTGCACTTATTCTCACCCGCTCCTGAGGAAGATGTCCCATTATTTGCTCAACTAGAATTGGTTTAGCCCTTCTACAAACTACACAATTATGCACAATTTGTCGTGCCAGTTTCCGACCTCTAAGAGGCCAAAACTTTTATCTGACACAATTCAACAATGCTTGTGGACCTATATGCAGATATTTCTTATGGTAATGTTCCATTACTAAATTAGTGAACTGATGATTAGCTGGTAGAATAATGGGATGCTTTTGTGTGAAATTTAAATTAGCATTTTGCAAACGTCCCCCTACTCTTAGCAACTGATTTTCATCAAAAAATGGATTCAATGATTTCAAACAGCTTTTACCTGTAACCTGAGATGTCCCGTTTAGGTTTTTAATATCCTCCAAAAATATTTCACTCCGAGTTACCTGAATCAGATATAACTATGCCCCATTGACCGATAAAATTCCCCTTCTTTTTTCTTGGTTCCAACAGTTATAAATGAACCTGAAAATATAACTTACAATATGCAATGATTTAGTATAGTTATTTGTAATATTTATAATATTATAAAACAGATCATTAGTTAATGGTTCGACTAGAAAGTTTTGCAAATGAGTTGAATTAAAGTCAAGTTGAGAGTCATTATTCACTGAAGTAGTTTGATTGGCTATCTGCTTAGTTCCTTGCGGTAAATCTCATCTAAGTCTGACTGAGACACAGTTAGGGACAAATCAACTACTTCTGTTCTTAAGAATGAAGGTCCATTCCACCAAAGTTTAAGATGTTCAATTTGATCTGGGCTAATATCTCTTGAAATCAAGTCAGCAGGGTTTTCTTCTGACTTCACATATCGCCATTGAAACTCGTGTGTAAGTTGCTGAATTTTGGCAACTCGGTTAGCTACAAATGTCTTTAACACATGTGGAGAATTCCGAATCCATGCAAGAACTACAGATGAGTCACACCACATATATATCTTATCTAAATTAAATTTAAGTGCCTTTCACACCTTATCCATTAACTGCGATAGTAACACTGCACCACAGAGTTCAAGTCTTGGGATAGAAACTGATTTTAATGGCGCGACTCTTGATTTACTGCACAAAAGAACTACTGAACTGGAACCCGATTGCAATATACATTTGACATAAATGCATGCTCCATAAGCTAATTCTGAAGCATCAGAAAATCCATGCATTTCAATTTTAACAGCATTGCTAGACAAAATTTTTCGATTAATAATTACACCATTAATTTTAGGCATCGACGTGATAAAATTCTTCCACTCGTGAGATTCCGTTTCGGGAAGCACATCATTCCAGCCAATTTTTAGAAGCCAAAGCTTCTGCATAAAAATTTTGGCTTTCGTAATAACTGGTCCAATTAAACCGAGTGGATCAAATATTCGAGTAATAGCTGATAAAATATGTCTCTTAGTATAGTAATCATGAAAATTTGTAGTTACGTTGAATGTGAAAGCATCTGAATCTGGATTCCATAAAATACCTAAAACCGTCGTTTCATTTTTTATTTCATTGGAAAACGAATAATCTTCAGTCTTAGTATTAACATTAAGCAGCAATTCTCTGTGATTAGTGAACCATATATGAAGCTTCATGCCCCCTTGACTTAAGAGATTCACTAACTGATTTTGCAGTTCTTTAGTTTTTTCTAAATCTTCTGCTCCTGATAGAACATCATCCATATAAAAATCTTGAAGTGTGACTGAAACAGCTAAAGGGAATTCCTTTCCTTCATCTTCAGCTAATTGTCGTAGGACTCTAGTAGCAAAGAAAGGGGAACTAGTAGTGCCATATGTAACAGTATTCGGCTGATATGTCTTGATTTCTTCTTGGGAATTTTTCTTCCAAAGAATTCATTGAAATTTCCTCTGGTCTGGATCTATTACAATTTGACGATACAGTTTCTTTATATCAGCAATGAATGCGAAAGTGTGTTTCCTGAACCTTATCATGATGGAAAACAAATCTTCCTGTACTATGCCTCCATTCAGTAACTGCTCATTTAAAGATGTACCACTTGATGTCTTCGCAGAAGCGTCAAATACCACTCTCAATTTTGTCGAACTCTTGTCTGGATGATATATTCCATGATGCGGAATATAATATGATGGTTCCAAGTTTACATCTTTGTGTACTTCTTCCATATGGCCTAAAGCTTCATATTCCTTGAGAAATTCTTGATACAAGGATAGTAATTTTGGTTCCTTCAGCAGTTTGCTCCATAACGAATTTAATCTCTTTAATGCGGTATCTTTAGAATTTCCTAGACGTAAATGTCCTTCGCTCTTCATAGGCATCTGAACCACATACCTTCCATTTTCATCTCTAGAATGTGTGCTTAAGAAATGATTTTCGCATAATAATTCTTCTGGACTCTTCACAGGTTTATCTTCGTCTATCCTTTCAATTTCCCAAAAATTCTTTATGCTTTGATTCAAATCGTCCAATTCTTGGATTAACCCACAATATGCTGAATCTTCTTGTTTCGTAATGCTATCAATTTTACTGCTGATAATATAGCCAAATACTAAATTTTGAAGTATAAAACCAGAGTTTTTCAGCACAATTTTTTCGCATTTTAATAAATCAAAAAAGATATCAGCACCTATTAGCAGATCAATCTTTCGAGGTGTGTAAAATTCAGGATCAGCAAAAATTCAGAATTCAAATTTCCTAAGGATGTAATATCCAATTTCTGGATAGGTGTAATATTAGTTATTTTAGGCACTATTAAAAAAGTTTCTGTAATAGTCTTCTTCTTTATAAAGGATAGTGGCATTAAATTTTTGTTTTATATTGAAGGTTCTATCATTTAAGCAAGCAACCGAAACGTTAATTTTCTCGCGATCTAAACAAAGTCTGGTTGAACATTCAACAGTCATGAAGTTACACATCGAACCGCTGTCAATGATTGCTCTGCAAGGACAAAGTTCACCGTCTCTGTTCCTGATGTAAATTACAGCTGTCGCCAGCAAAACAGTTTCGAAATTCTTTCGGGCGTAGGAGGCGGTGAGTGAAGACATGTGAGAAGCTACTTCCGGTCGGGGGGGGATCTGGAGCGCGGGAATCCTTCTGAATTTCTTTTTGCGCTTCGACGGCAAATGTTTTTCCGCTGAGGAAAATGCAACAGGCTATGATGGCGTGAATTGCATAAACTGCACGAACTGTTTGATTTGCATTCTGTCACCTTATGCGATGGTTTAAGGCAATTAATACAAAGATCAAATTTTTTTTACAGTCTCAAAACGCTTGTTTACAGCTAAATTTTTAAATTCATCACACATATAAATTTCATGCGTCGATTTACATAATTTGCAATTGTTGGTCGAAGTTCGTTTCGAATTAACTAAAAATCCCTTTGCTTTGATATTAGGAGTGAAAGACTTGGAATTTGGATTGGTAATTTTACTTGTGTTTTCAAGAACCTGACATCTTTTTTCAAGAAATGCGATAAAGTCTGCCCAGTTAGGAGGCTCAGTAGTGTTCAAACTCATTTCGAATAATTACCGAGTTTCCTTATCTAATTTAGGGAGAATTAAATTTATCAGTATGAGATCCGAAACGTATGCCTTTCAATGCTCCAATGCTTAAGAGCTCTAATATTTCGCAAAATATTATCCACTAACTTTCTGAGCTCGACCAGTGATTCATGATTTATTTTTTCCACGTTTATAATGGAGTTAATGTGTCTGTCAACAATTAAGCGCTTATTTTCAAAGCGATTTTCTAATGCTTTATATAATGACTGAAAGGATTCGTCTTCTGTTTCAATCTGGTTTGCTACACCTCGTAGAGACGATTTCAAATAATAAAGCTGTTCAACTTCCAATAAGTGAGAATTGTTAGAAATTATGCTATTAAATTGAATTTTAAAATTGTTCCAATCCTCATATTGGCCAGAAAATGTTGGCAAAGGTATATCCGGTAATTTAATTCTGCTCCCAGTATCTTTAACAGTTGAATAATTTTGACTTTCTGTTATTGGTTGCTGTCTTAAAGAAGTTCTTAGCAGTCTATGCACTCGCGTTTTCAAAAGAATTATTCTTTCTTTATACTGTTCTGTTCTATTAATTTCATCTTCTAAATCATCAATCACAATAACTTTTTCTATTTCGCTGTCTACTAAATATAAGGCTTGCTCTTTAGCTATTAACTGAGCAAGTAGTTCTTCAATAACCTCACTGTTTAAATTTGAATTTTCAGTTTCAATTTGGAGTTTATTGAATACATTCGTAGTCATAGTTCGCAAAGAAACCCTTTTTTTCTTTATTTTTTTAATTCCATATTGAATAGTCAAATAAAACAATTTTTCAGACAGTCCGAAATTTAAAGCAATATATAAATTAAACAAATGCAATGATTCGAATGCTTATGTTATACAGTTCTTAACTGAAAACAGTAGAATCAAAATTCACTTACCCATTTTTCTCAGGGTAACGACGAGCTGATCACTATATAACGATATCCAGAGACAAAGAATTCTCAAGAAAACGAACGTTCATCCATATCCAATGAGAAAAGGAATTCTAAACGAAACTAAAGTTCTACGCAAATCTTCACGAGCTAGTTCCAAGTTCCGGCTCGACTTGCCAAAAAATATTTGTGTCGAAATGTGGACTGTATGAGGCGATAATGTCTTTTAGTAGTTTTATTAAAACTCAACAATAATGTACGTGATACATTACTTAGAACCGAAGTTCTCGACAATGGACACCGATGGGACTTGGTGTCTGCCGACGAGCAAACTGACAATTTTCCCGCCTAGTTGGTGGTGTACAGTTTGAATTGTAAGATTGCCAAGTTTGACGCAATTACAGTTAAAGGCAGCAACACCATCTTACCAGATTTAAATTGATGATCTATAATATGGAAAAACCCCTAATCCAGAACTACCGAAGTCCCGACGAGTCTGGATTATGGTCTTAGTACTATAATAGTTCTTTTTTTTTTTTTAATATTTGTGCAGATTAATTATTTTCCCTTTATTTCTTATTGGGAAAGTTGCTTTTGTATATGTCCAAAGATCTGCTACGGATTAATCACTTATACTGAAGTACCATTGTATGCAGATAAACCATTTCAAATCATAACAGTGATTGATTATAAGGCTGACATGCTAGTTATCCAGTCATATAATTAATATAGAATAAGAAAATAATGATGATGAACAAAATTTTTATTAAGCTTGGTTTAGCTCTGAAAACATTCAATTTCTTTTCTGTACAATACCACAGCTTAAGTAACGTAGCAATTAGTAAAGGATGTGCTACAGTGTTATTATTTTTACATATTTCTGTCTGATTCAAATGTCAGCATATAACAGGTAATGCATCCTTTTATATTTTATTTCTTGAACATTGCAGAAAATATTTTAATGCTATGATTAATTTGTATTTAAGGATGTCTCCTATTTTTAAATATTGAAAATTAGTTTAAAAAATAACTAATTTCATCTATAAAAAGAAAATTTTTCCATTTATCTCTCACAAGAATACACTGTATATTTTTGCATTAATGTAATTAATAATTTTGTAGGTGGGCTGCAGCTCTTCAGCACGGGGGCATGCTAAGTTTTTGTTGTACACTGTGAAGCATGGTGCTTATGATGTAGTTTTGTCATTTGCCAATCCTGAAGTTCAATCAGATGCTTGCACAGCGAAGCAGTTAAAATATCAGAGACTAGTACACAAGAGTTCTTTCGCAACAGCAGCACGTCAAACTCATCACCCACAACTCATTTTAAAGAGCCCTTTTCTTTACTCCAAGAAAATAAAATACACTACAAAATTCGGACGTCCAATATCCAGAATGATCTAAAATCCTGACCTCAAAACCACCAACAACGTTTTTCTCATAGACTTTACGCATGCGCATTTGATTCCCCCTTCCGCGTAGCATAAAACATCTGGGGAGTCCCGATTCTTAATTTTGCTTCAACACTAAATAAAATACCTTGTTATTGAAGAAACAATCATTTTAGCATAAATTCGTATGAACAGTAATTTGGCTGCGTTGCTTGGCACACATCTCAAACAGAAACATTCCACATAGATACATCGCTGATCCCACACCAACCTCGCGAATCATTATTTACAGTCAAAAGTCTTTAGTCCGGACTCGTCGGGACTTAGACGATTCCGGATTATTGATCATCAGTTTAAATCTGGTAAGATGACATGCAGAAATTATAAAATTAAAAATATGAAACCGTAATTTATGAAATAAAGAGCAATTATGATCTACAGGGTATCAAAATTTACAAAAAAAAAAAAAAAAAAAAAAAAAAAAGCTTAATTTTTATTTGTTTACTTTATTAAACATTGCTTTCAACGTGCGCATGCGTAAAGATACATTATGCATAGTCGAAATTAGAAAATTGCAACCAGAAAACTATTTGATGTGTATTTGTGATATTTATAACGACGAGGAATTTGATTTAAATCATATCAAAGACGGAGTACATCGAGATGAAATACTACATTTAGTAAGGAATTATAAGCCGAAAAAATAAAAAACATCTGCCCTGAAGATAAGGATAGTGCTGACAGATCAACTTCCAGTTCATTGCGTGCCGCACTGTCCCCCCCACAGAGCAGCGTGAAATTGATAAACAGATTTCATAATGGTTAGAGAAACAAAGGATATGCCTTGATCCATTTTTTGCGGCAATTCCACTTTTTGTTTGATGATCATCGAAACATGCTTTCGCTTTGTAGATCCTTTGGCAGCTCCAGAATCGGAAACTCTTTTTGACATAATCGAAAGTTCAAGCTTACTTTTTATAAAATTGCTCTAACAGTCTGCAAAAAATAATAAGCCAGATCCAATTTGTAGATTAAGGAACAACGCAATCTGCAACATTAATTGAAATAGATAATTAGATAATTTTAGCTTAGCTTATACCGTACGTTATATATTGAACACGCATGCATAAGCACATAATACGTTTACACATGCGCAGAAAGTTTGTAGCTTTGAGGTCCGGATTATAGATCATTCCGGATTATGGACATCTGGATTAAAGACTTTTGACTGTATTATACTTTCCTTTCATCACCGCATGTTTATTAACACATGACAACTTGAGTAATGACTCGTGTAGCGATGCCTAAACAATTTTTTTTATGTTAGTAATCGAATAATAAAAAAGTATGGTAACCTTTTATGTTGACATTACGCTTGGTGATGATTTAAGTTAAATATGCTAAAAAATGTTGATGGGGAAACGTTTACCAAAAATTTCTTTTCATATGCTAAAAATAGATTTTGTTGATGATACCCATAGACTCGAAGATTACATTTAGGGCTATTTCAATTCAGAATAAATAATTTGTTATTCACATAAACCCAGAACCAGCGCCTGGGCTCGTATGGCCACACTGAGTCGCAGAATTTAGGACCCACAGAGACTGCATCAGGCGATAAGATATCTAGCGTCGGCCCTCAATAAGGCTTATTTTAAAGACCCCTTTTTTCACTCCAAGAAAATAAAAGACAGTACAGAATCTGAAAATATATGTGAGAATTTATTTATTTATTCAGAACTCTGATAAACCTTAAGTATGTGCATGAAATAGACATAATTATAATAAATAACTAAACTAATACAATTCAGGCCTAATTGTCTCAGTTGCGATAGAAGCAAGATAAAATTTAACAGAACAACTTGTTAGTCACCAAGCTCATGATGCATAGCCAAATAAATACAGTGAAGGATAGCTAAATTTGATGATGATAACCGCTAATTTTAGAGGTTTTCGGATATTGCAAAACAAAGGTGAAATTTTGCACTTAATGGATTTTGTAAAGAAATGTGGAGAAGCAGTAATAAATGAAGGTAATATAAAAGAAGTTTTTTATTGTGATGGCAATGCTTCTCAATGATCAATCAATGGATGGTGAAATCTGTAGTATGATTTTAAATCCAGAAAATATCGCTACCAATAGTGAAGAGAAGTTACTGAAAACGAGAAAATTTTGATTGACAAATTAGTTAGAATTCTCGAAACAGCAGTTACAGGATTTCAACAATGTAACTAAACATGAGAATATATATGTCTACAGAAATAAAAAGAAAGTGTTAGCATAAAAAACGAAGCAACTTAAACAACTTACATTGAAAGAAATGTTTAATTAGGTAAACAAATAAATATTAAGCTTTTTTTTTTTTTTTTTTTTTTTTGTAAATTTTGATACCCATTTAGATCATAAATACTTCATTATTTCATAAATCAGGATTTCATATTTTTAATTTTATAATTTCTACATGCCATCTTACTAGATTTAAACTGATGATCTAATATCCGGAATCGTCGCAGTCCTAACGAGTCCGGATTTCAGACTTTGTAGTGTGCATAATATAATAAAAATTAGAATTTTACCAAATATCAAATTGTGTATAGAATCGCGGATGCTATAAAAGAACTGTTTTGAGACTTGCTGTTTGCAAAACTATTTATCCATTTACAGATGAAAATTGTCAAAACTTAGAGGGCGATTCAATTATAAGGCAAAGATTCAGCGAAGTGAGTATCCCCAAATTTTACAAACATTTGCCGGCACTATTCACAGGAAGCTTCAAATTTCCATCATGTCTGATTTTCACATTAAGTAGTATGTGCGAGTTTGAATAACTTTTCTACGCAATTGAAAAGAAGTTCTTCAGCAAATGATACAGATTAACAGACATTACCTAACCTCTATTTCTAAAAACTGCTCATTCAAAGTGTATGTTTCCAGACATCCAGCAGCTGTTTACAGGAAAAATTTGCCATATATCGGATAGAAAGGGGATAGCTAAGCTTATGTCCCTCCTATTTTTTAAAGAAACACAATGTTAGAAATACAATACATACAGTACAATGGCTAACATTTTATATATTTACCCACTTTTAAATACATCATCAAGTATGAAAAATGGTGGGGTTTTTTTCCCCTTGCGGACTATATTATTATTATACTGATGACTATTTGTCTACTTGAGATACTGAGTTTGAGACGTTTGCAATATGGTATTGGGCTGCCACATAATAGATCATCCACATTCGAATCCCAAGATCCTTTGCCAAAGACACTGGGAATTCATACTCTGCACTTTACTGATAGTGATGAAAGTGACACAGACATTACCGAGAAGAAAAAATTTTAATTGACGATTTAGTGGAAATTTTTGACAATGCAATTGCACAACTCGAACAATAGAAGTTTGAATTTGAACAATTGAACTGAAAAAGAAATTAT